TTCCTTCCTTCCTTCCTTCCTTCCTTCCTTCCTTCCTTCCTTCCTTCTTTTCTTTTCTTCTTTCTCATGTTGCCTAGGCTATCCTAAAATTCATTATTTACCTAAAGATGACTCTGAACATCTGATTCTCCCGCCTCCAGCTCCCAAATTCTGGGATCACAAGTATGTACCACCATGCCAGGTTTCAGCTCATCACAGTGTTGAGCCAAAAGAGCACTTCAGGGATTTATGGGCCTGACTTGTTCCTAAAACGAAAGATCAATTGGTGGAGGGTGCAGACTCTAATAAAAACCTTCTTTATACGTCTACCTCCTTGTCTGCTGAGGTGCAGATCTGGGTGGTCAAAGTTCTCAATCTTTCTGCCATCTTAAGTTCCACAGCTATAATGGAGGAGATGAAGTTCATGACATTGTTTCTCTCACCCATAGGGCAGTAGAGGGATTCTAAAGATGGTGGCTGGATGGTGTTAGGAGGAGTGTGTCATGGAGGATGGGGAGGCTGAGCTTATGACATTCACCCCTAACTCTGTCATCACTCCTAACCTTTCAGGAAATCCTGGAGCGCCAGGTGCTCCAGGCCCCCCTGGTGCAGCAGGACCTTCAGGTGCCAAGGGTGAGCCAGGCCGCCCCGGTCCTCCTGGGCCAACAGGTGAGGTCCTTTATCCCTGCATTGGGAGTGGCATCCCAGCATCTGTCCAGTCCAGTCCTTATGCCCATGTGGTGTCTTTTGTCTAGGATCTCCAGGGATTGCTGGGAATCCAGGGCCTGCAGGTGTGAAAGGGAGCAAGGGGGACACAGGTAAGTGGGTGTGCAGAGGTGGGACATGGGGTTGCTGGGTACTCTGGATAGACAGGAAGGAAGATTGCCTCCCAGAATCCCACAAGAGGCAGACATTCTCCCATCCTCTGGCTCTGGAGGCTCCTGATAAAGGAAAGTCATCTCCTCCATTATAACCCCTTGAGCACAAGGTCCCTGGGATGTTCTTTTCTGTCCATGTTCCCAGAGAGTCTTGAATACCATGACTAAACCCGCAGCATCACAAAGGGAAGCTGGACTGACCTGTGGTGACATCAGCACCTCGGATTAGGACAGAAGGCAAAAATTCTTCCTTTGCATTCTTTTGCGGGAACAGCTGAGAACGCTGGTCCAACCCAGGGAGCTCACGGAAGCTAGTTCACAGGCTCTGTAGAGCCTACCAGAAGCTCTCCATACACTGTGGATCTGGGAGTTCGTTTCAGTCTGATCCCAAAGACGCTCTCTTCTAGACTCTGTCCTATAAGCGAACACAGAATCATTCTATTTTCGTGGCCTGGGCTATAAACTTTGCAGTTTTGTCTGTGTCACATGACCTCTCATCAGTGTAGGCTAATATGTCTGATCCGTACTCATCTGGTCTAGAAAGCGCAGGCTGCTGCATTGAGCACCATGGTGACATTAGGTTCTTGGGCAGATGCCATAGATAGACCGCAGCCATGTCCCAAGTGTGCACCCTCTAAATGACATCTGGAGTGCCTGTTGAGAGTTCTGTGAGGATGGGGGCAAAGTAGTGAGACTAGGCTCCTGTCTCCAAGCATGTCCAAGGACTCTCTGCTTTGACCTATTCCTCTGCCAGAGAATAAGATTGAGAGCAAGGTCAGCAGGCTATGAATACACATAAAGACCAGGCAATCAGTTTCAACTGGTTGAGTTGTTGGCTGACTCATTCATTCATTCACTCACTCATTCACTAACTCACTCACGTATCAGGACCTCCTAGCAAGCTTTGAACTCTGAATGTAAGATCTTTGTGACACAGATTAAAATTAGATCTAATCTAATCAGAAGCCATGGCTAAGCTATCACCTGCATTTTCTCCATTCTTTGATTCCCTCTAGCTTCACACTCCCTCAAGACCCTTCACCAGAGTTGGAGAGATAGCTTATGGATAAAATGTTTGCCCAGCAAGCATGAGGACCTAAATTCAATCTCCGATCTCATGCCAAAATAAAACAGGCCTAGTGGACTTGCTTTTGATCCCAGTTGTATAGAGGTGGAGACAGGTGGATCCCTGGGTCTCAGTGGTCGAACATCTTAGCCCTACCCAGCAAGTTTCAGGACAGTGGGAGATGCTGTCTCAAAAAACAAGACGGGAAGCATCTGAAGAAAGAGTTGAGGTTGTCCTCCAACTGCCACATGTATGTGCATTTGTGTACATGTGTACACACACAAGACCCCATGCCAATGCATACACAAGAACCCATGCACATGCACACACACGAGACCCCAAGGCAATTTTATGACATACATCTTAGTCTGTGGCTCATTGGTCTTCATGCATCTAGTGAGCATCTTTGTGTGTGTGTGTGTGTGTGTGTGCCTCCCACTGATCATCTAGGTGGTAAATACCATCAGTCCAATCTTATGGCTCACCCACTAAGTATGGCTCCCTATGTAAGCAGGATGAATTACTTATTCAATTTATGATATATGAGAGTCACCATTTGGGTTGGTGGCTCACCCAAAGCCAAAGCCTGCCTCGGTGAAACATCTGCTGGCCTATGTGAACTTCCCATGGAAGGGACTTCCCAGAATTCTGGGGGGCTAATGAGTAGCTACACAGATCAGATTTGGTGGTTACTGGAATGACTATCCAGATGGGTGGGTGGCAGATGTGATTCAGATGTCATCTTCGTATTTGAAGACAGCATCCCCTTGTAACCTCACTGTCAGGAGGTTGGTAATCCCCAAGCTAGAGCTTCTGTGGCAACTATCCAGTTTTGATAAAGCAATTCAGGTTTTCAAATCTATGGGTTTCCCATTTTGTAAATAAAACCATGAATCTCTCAATCGAATATCTAGCTGATTCAGATGAAGACAGAGAAATGACATTTCATTGTCTTGGACTGGGTTTCATTATTATGGGTTAACATAAGCAAAGAGAGGCTTGTTTGCCGTTAAACAGGCTTCTGGGCTATTCCCTGTTTTCGGATCTTAACCATCCTGATTTATCTTCCATGCATTTATCTTCTTGTGCAGTCAAGAAGCAACGATGGGGTTGGGGAGATGGCTCGGTCTGCTAAGGGCATGCAGCAGAAGTGTGTAGGGCTGGGCTCAGACCCCCATAATCCATGAGAAAGCCAGGCTGCCATAGAGGCCACCTGTCATTTCAGCCCTTGGACACAGTCAGGGATCACAGGGCAAGCTGGCGAGCTACAGTAGCCTGAACTGGTGAGCTCTGGGTGCAGTCAGAGACTCTCTCCTGATAAAGAGGAGCGTGGTCCCAACCAAAGAGCATGCATGGGTTGGACCTGGGCTCTCAAGTGTAGCCGATATGCAGTTTGTTCTTCATGTGCTCTTCTAACAATTGGGATGGGGGCTGTCTCTGACGCTGTTGCCTGCCTTTGGGTCCCTTTCCCATAGCTGGGCTGCCTGGTCTGGCCTCAGTGTGAGAGGATGCGCTTAGTCCTGCTGCCATTCGATGGCAGGGTGGGATAGTGCCCATGGGGCCTCCCCTTTTCATGGGGGAGAAGAGGTTGGGGAAAGGAGTGTGAGGGTGGGGCTGGGAGAGAGGAAGGAGGGGGCTGTGAATAAAGAAAGAGAATAAAGAAATTAATAACAAAAGAGGACAGCGGTCAAGGAAAACAATTGACATCAACTTTGGACCTCCACATGGGCGCACACACACACACACACACACACACACACACACACATAAACACACACACATGCACACACGCATGAACGCCTATATGTAGTGCACTTTGCAAAGGCTCAGAGAGGCTAAAAGCCTTTGCCACAGGCTGCTAGTATACAGCAGGTCTGAGAGCTCAGAACACTGTCGGATCCCAGAGGCACCCTTTTCCTGATTTTGTTATATGGGATAACACAGATTACAACCCAACAGAAGTCAAAGCTGCCATTGTTTAAGACCACCATTGTAGGGCCCTGGACCAGAAAACTGTTAGAAACAGTGTTCCTGAGTCCCCACCCTACTCCCAAGTAACCAGCATCTCTGAGTGGACCTGGTAAGATGTTTCTGCATGAGCACTTCTCTCTGTGTGTGTGTGTGTGTGTGTGTGTGTGTGTGTGCGCGCACAAGCCACCAGAGGAGTATTTCAGGTAATGTCTCCTATCAATTCCTGCCTTTTTTTTTTTTTTTTTTTTGAGAGGGTCTGTCATTAAGCAAGAAGCTTGCTGGTCGGCCAGTCAACTAATAGGATATTCTTGTCTCCATTCCCCAACACAGGGTTACAGCCATGCACAGCCATCTCTGGTGCTCTCTCTCTTTCTTTCTCTCTGTGTGTCTGTATGTCTGTCTGTCTCTTTCTGTCTCTGTCTCTCTCTGCCTCTCTCTCTCACTCAGAGAGGGAGGAGTAGGAGAAAGGACCTCTCACATTAACTTCAAATAGAATAATCACCAACTGTTGCTTTATTTTTTTTTCCATTTTTCTGAATGTAAGACTCCTTTGCACATGATCTTTACATATCCTGGAGACAAAGTGAATAGTTCAAAAGATAACTAGTTAATAGGCGCTGGCCTTGTTGTGAGGACCTGAGCTTGATCCTCCAGAATCCACAGTGAAAAATTAGACATGCATGGTGTTGGCTCTGTAATCTGAGAGCTTGGGAGGTAGAAACAGAAGGACCCTTGGGGTTCCTTGAACAGCCAGCCTAACCTACTGTGAGAGTTCTAGGACCCCAGCGAGAGACCCTGACTTTAAGGATGAGATGGACAGAGCCTGTCGAAGAACACTGAAGGTTTTCCCCCGGCACCAACACTCACACACACAAACACTCAAATTACTGACCCATCTAGTTTTTGGAACCAAAATGTTCATTTGCAAAATATTTCTCATCTATTTTCTGCAAATCTCATGAAAGACAAAACAGTAAGGAAAAGGATTGGATTCGAGGTCAGATAGGGTCACTGGTGTCCAGACAGGAAAGGTTGGTCGGGGCATCTGGAGTCTGTGTACCTCAGACTTTCACACAGCACATTGGCATTTCACCTAAACACGCCCATCTTCATCTGTCTGCAGCCTGTCTCCCCTTCCACCTCATAGTGAGGTTTGAAGCAATCACAGAGAACGGGTGTACCCTTCCGTTTGCATTAATCAGACAAAGGCAGAGGCTGCCTAAGATTAAAAGTGTCTAATATCTAAGTTTTATTATCCTCCCCCCCCCTTTTCTGTGTTTCCATCTTAGGATTTCAAGGACAGAAAGGCACAAAAGGAGAATCAGGAGTCCCAGGTAAAGGGCTGGATTTATTTTAATTTCTTGGGATGATGCCTGGTGCGCCTGTGTGTGTGGAAGAAAGCCTTATTGGCTTTGAACACTGTGACCTTCTCCCTCAGAGTTGAGGCAGAAACTCTGAGATTTGTCACTCTATTCCTTCCCTGGAAGATCCGGGGAAATGGCATAGCTTCTGTATCCCAAAATGGATAGACAGTGGGGCAGGGACGAGGAGGATGTGGTGGCGCCAGGCCATGCTGCCACCGAAGGAACTGGCTCCGGGTGATCTTAGGATGTAAGGCTTCGCCATCTCTTCTTTGCTCTATTTTACCTTTCTTGGCTCCCCAAGTCCCTTCTTTCCCCTTGCTACTACTTCACATTTGGATATCATCTTTCTCTTCATCATCACCGTCACCATAATGCCCAAAGCAGTCTACTTTATGAAGAAACAAGTAACTGGAAGCCCAAAGGCGTGATGCTGGTTTCCTCTCGGCCTTGGTAAAGCCATGTGGGTGTTGTCATAACGGCGGCATAGCCCCAAATACCCAAGTTCACCACAAACTCCAATGAGCAAAGATAAAAACTGAATCTAGTTTTGTTTATTTGTTTTACTTTTTTTGAGATAGGGTCTCATTATGTAGCCCTGGCTGGACTAGAACCTGCTATGTAGAACAGTTTGACCTCAAACTCACAGAGATCTGCCTGTCTCTATCTCCCAAGTACTATAACTGAATCTTTAAGCTGATTGTTTTCTCAGCCATAGAGCAAGTTGGAAACATAGGGATCAATGTCCTATCTATCCATCTGAACCATCTCTCAGTGAGAGCTCAGGAAGGACAGGAAACCAGAGAAGCAGGGTCCCAGGCTCTTTTCTGCAGACAGTGCCCCCACATGGCCTGGAGGACTTCCCACCATGCCCAAGTCCTCTTAACACTCCTGTCTAAGGTTCAGTCTCCCAACACAAGCCATACTCATGCCAGGCCAAGTGCTAAAACAGAACCCAGGCAGAGTTCTGGAGTGAGTTTTCTTCCATGTGAGCTACATATTCTATTACAGTCTTAGCTTACTAATCAGACATGTCAGACACAGCAACCTAGAAACATTCTAACAAGTTCTCAAAGAAAGATTAAAATTTCCACATAATTATTTCATCTTCTAAGGACTCTACCAGCCATATCCTCCTGTGCATTCTCAATGGCATTAAGGTGGGAGACCAGATGACAAGGGCAGCTCCCAGCTGGACCAAAGCCTGGCTGCATGATTGCATAGCCCATTACTGGGGGCTCTGATAGTCTGGGGTCACTCATCCACTAATCAGCCAGGCCCTCGTGTCCTCCTGGGGAGCAGAGTGGTGTATCTATGAGGCTAACTATCTCCTCTCAGGCCTTGTAGGCAGAAAGGGAGACACTGGAAGCCCTGGGCTGGCAGGCCCCAAAGGAGAACCTGGACGAGCCGGCCTGAAGGGAGACCCTGGGGCGAAAGGTAGGTGCTGCCTTTGATATGGACTTAAAGGTTAGGGGTCTTCAGAACCCAGGCTGGTGGAGATGTCTTTACTGAGTTGTCAAGTTACATGCTATGAATCGTACTGGAAAAGCATAATCAAGTTTCCCCAGCATGCATACAGCCTTCCTGTCTGTGCTCTGACCACCCCAGGCAACACCATAACCAAATAGATCTTCCCATGAGCTTTGTTGCTTACGGAATGCCTGTCACTAGCCTAACTTCCATCCTTGTGCTACATCTGAAGCCTGTATCCTCTTCTGAACCACTGGTACTTATGACACAGATAGCTATTCCCAGAGATGCCAGCCCACAGGCAGAGCTGGAGGAGAGAAATAGACTCCTCATCCCTCTATGTGTTCGGATGTGGGCAAAGGGCTGAGAGAGAGCTTGGATCAAATTGTGTGGTTTCTCTTCATGGCAGGATCTCCTGGCCAGCAAGGACAAAAGGGAGAAAAGGGTCAAAAAGGTAATTGATGTTTTAATTGTCTTTTACTAATCTTTTAGAGTCAATCCAGTGTTGCACAATCATGTGTTGGGGGTGGGGCTTATTTCCCAAGAACATTCTTCACCTCTGGACTGAGCCCGTTTGTGGCCAGAGGCCCAGGCAGCATCTCTCTCCCTTCCACCTTTTCTCTTCCCTCCTTGTTCCTATCTGCTTCCTTCCTCCTCCCTCCCTCTTCCATCTCCCCATCCTCCCCATGTTTGATTCCATCAGCCTCATGCCTTCTTTCCTTCTTTTTTTCTGATCATTTCTCCCTCTTCCTCCCTACCCTGTCTCCTCTACTCTCTCCTTCTGTTCCGCTTATCTTTTTTTTTTTTCCTTTCCACAACACATGGCAAGACATGACCACACAGAGGCACTGCCCTGTGCCTTGTTACCTAGGGCAGAATGCAGGAGAGCTGTCACCACAAAGTATTGGTGCTGAAGGGGAGATTCTTGCAAGCTCTGGTGAAAAGGTCCTGCTCCTCCTAGCTGCAGAGCTTCTAAGAGCAGGAGAAAAATGCACACCAATACTGGCAAGCACTTGCCTCACCTTATACACATATGTTTTTGTCCAGGCGATTCCTGGTATTTGGTCCGCATTGTTGGTGGCTCCAGCCGAGGCCGAGCTGAAGTCTTCTATAACAACGCCTGGGGGACAATTTGTGATGATGATTGGGATAATAATGATGCCACTGTCTTCTGCCGCATGCTCGGTTACTCCAGCGGCAGAGGACTTACCAGCTACGGAGGTGGTAAGTGACTTCACAGCCAGGGACTTGTCTCCTAGACATGCCCAAGTGGTACAGTGACACCCTTTGGGGAGGTGACATAGTATGGCTGCAGCTAGAGAAAATCATTGGTTCCAGGAACTGGAAAGTCCCGCAGCTTAGTGGTGGGCAGAGTACAGCTCTCCAGCTCTGGGCTCTGGGCTAACCTCTTTCCAGATTAGCCACTGTCAGAAGGACACTCACATTTCCAGCAGTGACAGCAAAGGCTTTAAAAGGCTCTGGACGCTGCTGTGGGTCAGTATCCATCTGGTCTTGGAGTCAGAATGTCATGTGACCAGGACTATTTATGGAGTGGGGACAAGCATGGCTGTTTAGAGCCGAGGGAGAAGATGGAACCATGGCAAAGGCAGATGTTTATTTCCACATCTGGAACCACAGATCACTGGCTGCCAGAAATCTTAACTGTGACGATAACCCCACCTCTGTGTGATGTGTGCAGGTGTGTGTGTGTGTGTGTACTTGTGCATGTCTGTTTGGTGAGAGAGCATGCATGTGAGTGCACGTGTGTGAAGGACAGAGGACAACCTCAGATGTTTCTCAGTCCTTGTTTTCACGAGGCAGGGTCTCTCGCTGTCCTGGAACCACTGACTTGACTGGGTGGCCTGGCAGGGCCAGGGAGCAGCTGTCTGCCTCCACCTCCTAAGCACTGACATGACGAGTCCACACTACCATACCCTGTCTTTGTTTTTGTTTTGTTTTGTTTTTTGACATTAATTCTGGAGTCAAACTCAAGGCCTCCTGCTTGAGTGGGAGGCACTTTACCTACTGAGCATCTCCCCAGCCCGTGGCGATCTTTGTCAAAGAATACATGGGAAGTTAGGTGTGGTGGGAAGCACCTGTTATACCAGCTCTCGGGAGGCTAAGACAGTGTGGTGAAGAGTTGAGGCCATTCTGGGCTACAAAAGCAAAGAATGAGAAGAAAGGAAAATCAAGGCAAAACTTACTATACTCAATTTGGGGAAGCTGCCCTGGGGCACTAGAGATCAGTTTATACACCCTACTCCTTCCTTGTCCTTGTCTGGACAGTAGGGCACAAGGGCAGCTCCCCCTGTTCCTTTCCTTGATATTCTCCACCCCACCCCAAAGCACAGAAGCTGCTGCTCACACAGAGGCCAGTCTCTGCATATTCCCTTGAGACAAGGTCTCTCACTCAAAGTCTGGTCCTCACGCTTTTACAACAAGCATCCTTACCCACTGAGCAAGCATCCTTACCCACTGAGCAAGCATCCTTACCCACTGAGCAAGCACCCTTACCCACTGAGCAAGCATCCTTACCCACTGAGCAAGCATCCTTACCCAGTGAGCAAGCATCCCCCAGGTCTCATACTTCCCTTTCAGTAGAATCGAGCTGAGCTGTAAAACTTTTTGAATAGTCATGTTAGAGCACAGCTGACTGCAACCCAGTGGTCTGTTTTCAATCCTATCAGAGGGAAGGGGGTTGGCAGAGGAATGGCTGCCGTAGATCCCGAAGAAATACAGATACAACAGGAGGGAGCTGAGCTGACAGAAAGACAATGGGAGGCTGTGTGCTCGCAAAGTGTGTGGATTAAAGGAGTCAATATTTGCATGAGGCTTTCACAACGTGGTTGAGGTCAGAGAGGAATCAGAGATATTATAAGAGCCTCAGAGCACTGAGCTCAACTGACACCCCCCTCCCACCCCGGGTGGGAGCTCCTGGGAACTGGCATGCCACCCTAAACTGCCACCTTCACACCCTTCCCTTTTCTCTCCTGCTTCTCTGTCTCAGGCACTGGGAACATCTGGCTGGACAATGTGAATTGTGCGGGGACAGAAAGCAGTCTGTGGGATTGCAGGAAGAATGACTGGGGCTCCCATAACTGCAACCACCAGGAAGATGCAGGCGTGGAATGCCGCTGACTTGGAAGCCCTGCAGGTCACCGCTCTGTCCCCAGATGTCTTGGAGCTCCACCCACATGGAGACCTGTTGGGTGCCCTAACTCTGTTGAGGGGGGATGAATAAAGCTCAGTGGTGGGTCTGCTGGGGCTAAATGTCATTGAGCTGGCACCCCTGTGCCTCATAGCTATGCCCACTCAACATGCACATGCTAGGCTCATAAATGTGCCCTTGACTCCTAAGCTGGGGGGAGGGGGGATGGCTAAGGTGTGTGACAGTTGCTGTGACCAAAGTTAGTCTTAACCATCCCCTCATTAGTTCATCACCTCTCACCTCCCTCCCACTACCCACCCTCCCTTCATCACCAGCACATGGTCCTATCTTTAGCTAACCACTGCCTAGAGATCAGCTTACAGATGGTGCCAGGTCACAGGATACATGTGACCTGTCCCTTTCCATCTGAGCTCCATGGCTGTGAGGACCAAGGGAGATGGCTCAGCGGATTGATAAAAGCACTTACTAGTGTGAGGGCCTAAATGTGAAAACCAGAGAGCTCACTTAAAAACAAACAAGCAAACAAAGTTAGGGGACTGGGAGATGGCTCAGTGATCAAAGCACTTACTGCTCTTACAGAAGACCTAGGTTCTGTGCCCAGCACTGTTGTCAGGCAGCTCATGACATCCTGCAACTCCAGTGCCAGGGACTCATATGCCCCTTCTGGCCTCCGCAGGCATCCTCAGAAGCTGGAGAAGTGGCTCAGCAGTTAAGAGTAGACACTGCTCTTGCAAAAGGACAAATGAGAGGCTTGCAACCATTCCCAACTCCAGTTCTAGGGGATCTAGCACCCTCTTCTGACCTCTTCAGCCACTTGTACACACCTGCAAATATGCGCCTATATAATGTGTGTGTGTGTGTGTGTGTGTGTGTGTGTACATATACACACACATACTTTTTAAAAAGAATCAACAGCTCCCATCTACACAGTAAGTCATTGGTCCCAGCTTCCCAGTTTGTAAAATGTTGCTAACAGTTCCTCCCTCCTTGTGAAAATAACTGAAAGTAACTGATAAACAAAAATAGAATATTATTTTAAATAATGCCCGTTCAGTGAGTAGAATGTCTGCCTAGCATGCATAAGTGGTTCCATCCCCAGCACCACATAAATGCAGCGTGGTGGGGCAGGATTGGGAGTTCAGGGCCATCCCACACCACACAGTGCGTGAAGGCTATCCTGGGTTGCTTCCGACTGTATCTCAGCTTTTAGGAAAAACCGTAAGACCCAATTGGAATTGTGCCTCCTTTAGAGAAATCATCGACGTGCCCTCACGCCCATTTATGGAAGGAAAGCTCAGTGCAGAGCCTGAGGCCTGTGTGTGCTTGTGAGGTTTGCCTATGCTGCTGTGATGTGTCTGCGAAGGACACAGCACAGCAGCAATGTGTGTGTGCCTTCATCCCACCAGCACCCCCATCACAGGTGGGGCCCAGACACCCATATCTCACTGCACTGGACCCAGCTCCCATGCTTGGAATTCTGGGGGCCTTTTCACCTGTACAATGTTAGACTCCAGAAGCGTTCAGGACATTTACATTGCTGCTAATGACTGAGCTAGTGCTCAAAGATCTTCATCAATATCATACACAAACAGAGTTCATCTGAAAAGGCTAGGCTAGGTCTGTGGCAACAGGCAGATGATAATCTACATGGATTTGTTCAAACACTTCCCAGTTCCCCTTTGCAATGGGGTAGTCAGGGGGGAAAGAGTCCATGTCCCAAGAATACAAACCACCAATTCATACACTAAAAAGAGCCTCTAGGGAGGTGGAGAGGTGCTTCGATGGTCATGAGAACTTCCTGCTGTTCCGGAAGACCGGGGTTCCATCCCTAGCTTCTACATGGTGGCTCACAACTGCCTTTAAGTCCAGTTCCAAGGCATCTGTTGCCCTCACTGAGACAAGTGCAGACCAATACACATAAAATAAAACTAAATAAAAAATTTTAAAATAAATAAATCTTTTTAAAAGAGCCTATAAGCTGGTAATTATATGCACATATATGGGTATGTGTTCGTCCTTATTTACTGTAAAAGAAATGCTAGCAAGACAGTATACACATACATGTCAAATTGGCATTAAAATGCACCCTAGGTGCTGGGTAAGAGGAGGGAGCAGGTATTTCCTGTGATCTGTGAATCTAGATGGAAAGCTGATATGGTCGAAGGTTTGGCTAGCACACACAAGGTCCTGGGTTCAATCCCCAATGCTGTATAAATGTATGCACAATCCTGCCTAAATACTGCACATAAATACTGTGCTTGGTGGGACCTGAATGTGATCTCAGCACTCTGGAGGTTGGGACAGGAGGGTCAGACCCAAAGTCCTCGTTAGCATGTTCAAAGCCAACCCGTGATAAAGGAGGCTCTGTCTCTGGAACACAAGTCCCTTCAAAGATGGCCAAAGGCCATTACAAGAAAGGCTCAGTGTGGCTGTGTTTTCTAGGCCCCTGTTGGTCTTTTCACATTTAAATCGCTACTTCTCCTGAAATTAGAATTTACTGTCCAGCATGAGGAACTTCCTTCTGTCTTGTGTTGGATGTGGCCGCCAGGCCTGGTCCCCAGGGTTCTCCTTTCTGGACTTGAAATCAGTGGCTGCCCACAGGTGGACGTCCTTGGGATAGAGTAGCCATTACCTCAGTGCTCTGAGAGCAGAAATGTGGCTGCGATGCACAACGCAGCAGGCTACATACTGTGTGTGTTCATCCATTTGTGTGTGTGTGTGTGTGTGTGT